GCATTGGGCTTCCGGCTCAGCGGGGAGCCTGCTTCTCCCTCTGACCCTCTTCCCTCTCGTGCTCTCTATCTCTCATTCTCTCTCTCTCAAATAAATAAATAAAATCTTAAAAAAAAAACATACATAGATCTCCCAGACACAGGCATCACCCTCAAACACACGTGGATCCCTCCATACAAAAGTCCCCAAAAGACATGCGGTCCAAAATACAGACCCCCCCAAACCCATGCAGCTTTCCAAACACACATATCCCCAAACACACTCAGAGCACCCTGCACGTGTAGACCCCCAAATACACACAGACCTCTCCAGACACACGCTGAGCCCCCGACACATTCCAATTCCCCAAATGCACCAGACTCCCAAATACACGCAGACACCCCCAAACATTCCATGCCCCCCAAACACATGCATGCTTGTTGTCCATTGCCCGTAGACCCCCAGACACAGGTAGGGCCCCCAGACCTGCAGTGGTAATAATGCCCAACCCTCTGGCTTCTGGAGCCAGAGTGGTGAGCAGCTCCACGGGAGGGTCGGGGGTTGGGGAGTCTGTGGGAAGTGAGCATCTGGGGTGGGTCACGTATCTGGGCACTTCATGGGGGTCACAGGCTACACCGGAGCAGGTGGCAGGGGATTACAGGGATCTTTGTGGTGATCCTGGGAACTGTAGGGGTCTGAGGGATGAGGTGTGTCACCCACATGCAGCTCTGAATCCCCAGAAACTGAGAATGTTCCAGTTGGAGAAGACCCCTTAGGGATCCCTTATCCATGAGTCCCTCTGATACCTATGGGGAAACTGAGGCCCAGTGGGGTCCCTCAGACCTCCCTTCCCCAGGTTTGCTCCTAGGAGGGCCCACTGTGGCCATGTGCTGAGAGGCCAGGGCTGTGGCTGTGGGCCTGGCCAGACCAGGGTTCAATTCCTGGCTCTAACGAACATTCATTGCCTGACATGCTCTGAGCCTTAGTTTCCCCATTTGTACTGCGAGTCCCCTGGGAGCTCCCTAGGCGCCCACCTACCTGTCCCTCCTCTTTAGAAAGGCCTCATCTACCAGCAAATTCTAGTACACCTTCTGCCCCTTTTCGGGCATCTGACACAGTTGTCCCACACAGACCTGCCACGTTCCCATCACTGGGCCTTTGCCCAGGCTGGCCCTTCCCCTGGTCCACCACCCTTGCCAGGCTTGCCCAGGTCTGAGGAGCTGCTCCATGTCCTTCGAGGCCAAGAAGAAATCCCTTTTTTTGGAGGCGCCAATTTTCCCAGGGGAGAGTCATCTCTCCCCGAGGCACTTAGCCCCACCGGAAACTTTCTGTGCTTCTTTGCTACTTTCTTTGATGATCATGCTGTCCCACTACGATGTCCACTCAGTGAGGGCAGGGGTGGAAGCTCCCCAGTGCCCGGCACACAGCAGGCCCCCAGTCACCCTTCCTTGAGTGAATGAGCAAACTGCTTAATCAATGGAAGAAACATGGACAACTGGTTCAGTTTTCTTTTAAAGGCCTGTGGCCCACAAAACAAATCTGAGCCCTGCCCCCTTCCAGTTGGAGACCCCTGCTCTGAACAGCCACCCGCACAACAGCCCAAGTGGATGGCACTCATGCTCCTCTCAGGCCCAGGGACGGACCCTCCGTAGGTCCCACTGTACATCTGGGAAGGAAATCATGTCTCTCATCTACCAAGAAGGCCAGTTTCTCTGACACAGCCACTGCAAACAGAAGCCCACTACCCCATGCCACCTCCCTGAAGGGTTTGGAACCCTGACCCCTGGAGCTGGGAGAGACTCTACATTCAGAACCCAACCCTGCTGTCCCAGGTTGGAGCTCAGGGCCACCCAAGGCACCCAATGATGTCCCCCGAGCATAGGGGCAACTGCAGGGACGGCCCAAGATTCCCCTCTCTTTGTTCCAGAGAAAGACGTCCCCGTGGGACCCCCAGAAATTCATCCCCTGAGGCCAGGGCCTCCCTGCTTGGGAAATTAGCACATCTGTCAGCGCTGGGCGGAAGGGACGGCCCATGGCCCAGCAGACCCAAGACGTAGCCATCCGAAGATGGGGACTTTAGGCATCCGTGGTCCCCACTCTCTTCCCCCAGAAATGTCTGAGAGCACACCAGGTACAGGGGACATAGGGGCAGGGAGTGGACAGACCCAGCCCTGTGGGAGAGGTGACAAGAGACACATAATCATGGCAGAGACAGAGACCTTCAAGGAAGAAATTCAACAGAGGGAAGCAGGAGGGATGGGTGGCAGGGGAAGGAGCTGGTTTGAACAGAGGGGTCTGAAGGGCCTTTCTGAAAAGGGGGTCCTCAAGGACGAGAGGACACCAGCCATGTTGGGATGTGGGGAGAGACTGCCTGGTCGAAGAAATGGCAGGTGCAAAGGACCTGAGGTGGGAACATGTTGGTCAGCTTCCAGGTGCAGGGGGAGCCAGTGTGACTAAAGCAGGGGGAGCCGATGGAGACAGAGGAGGGCAGGGAGGCCACATGGGGCCTCAGGGGTGGAGATGAGAGGGTGGGCTGTAGAGCAATGGGGAGCCATGGAGGGTGTGCAAGGAGGTGAGAGCTGTGGTCTGATTCAGGATTTTCAGAAGACCCCCTGGCTGCTGTGGGGAGGCCCTATTGAGGGGAGGCCAGGACAGCATTTGGTGAGAGACAGTGAGGGTTGTGGATGTGGAAAGTGGACAGGGGCAGGCCTGTGCCCACAGCCTGTGACTCCTTGTGCCAACCGGCCTCAACTGCTCCCTGCTGAGGGCCCTGCCTTGGTCCCAGGTGAACCTGGACCTGGTGAAGAGCAGGCCAGGAAAGCGGACAGCCCCGAGGCCTCCTTGGCCCTGGTAGAGGGTAGGGTGGGGATGGGCCTAGACGGGGCTCACAGGGACTTCCACTGGGTCACAGTTCGGATGGCGCCTCCTATTACTGAGTGCCTACTCTCTGCCCAGGCCCACATGCCACCTCCTTTACACACAGAACCTGCCTGACTCACAAACAGCCCAGTGAAGCGGAGATCACTGTCCCCATTTTACACAAGAGGAAGCAGTCTTCCCCGGGGCCACACAGCGAGACCCCCCAGATTCTCACTCTAGCCTCGCTTGTACCCCAGGGCTGTCCTGCTGCACCCCCAAATCACCACCCTTGCACAGTCTGAGAAGTGAGTCTGGGGCATCGTTGGGGTCCAAGACACTCACTCTTGGGCCTGGGGGGTGGGGGACAGGGCAGCCTCAGGTCCCAAGATGCAGGCCCAGGGAGACCCTCTTCTGGGGGTTGAGAAACAGGACCCAACCTCTGTGTGCACCCCACAGGGATTCAAGGGCCAGGGTTGGGGTGAGCTCTCTGACCCCAAATAGGATTCCAGTGTATGATAAATCCTCTCTGAAAAATGACATCTGTCTTCAGGTGTCTATGTTCCTCATATCTGAAGGCCAGACCCCTACATTTCTACATTAATTGCATCTGAGTTGGGGTGACAAATGATTTTAATTCCCTTTCTCCTCCTAATTTGCATTTTCCAGATGTCTGCCTGGTTGGGTAATGATTTAACAAAATATCATTAGTTGGAGGTGGAATGTAAAACCGAGCTCAACTTGCTCAGGTCACAGGGGCAGCTGCAGAGCTCAGAGAGGGGCAGTGATCTGTCTGAAGTCACACAGCGAGAGGAGAGAGAAGACTGGGCCCCTCGTTCCTGGCTTTGTTGTTTCTGGATGGCAGAGGGGCAGCCTTGAGCCCATACTTTCTCTGAGGGGCCTGGATGTCTCCATCTGGCCTCAGTCTTCCCTCCTGCAAAGTGGGCACTCCAGACCAGATAAACAGCTTCCAGCTCTTGCAGGTGAGACCCCCAGGCCCTCAATGTTCTAAAATTTCGTTCCCTGGAAGTCAAGATTCACTCCTTGACTCAGGCAGTGGGAGGCAGGCATGGGGACAGGATGGAGGAAGGCTGACTTCTCCCAAAGCCCTTTTGACCTTTGCAATCAAACCCCACACACTTGTCCTTCCCAGTGTAAATACTGTTTTGAACCCAGTTTCTATTGCCCCAGTAGCTGAGAGTTCTCATTACTGGATGCCAAATGTCCAGAGGTCCTGACTTTCCTGGGTGAGGATTTTGGGGCAGGCCAGGCATGGCCTCAGCTATCTCTGACTTCCAAGTCTGCAACAAGGGGACTGAGGATAGCCAGGTAGATCAGTCAGCCATGCCTGCAGCCCTGGACCCTAGGAGAAGTGGGGGGGCGGGTAGGGGGAGCATGACTGTGAAGGTAACACAGCCACCAGCTTGTCGTGTGCTGACAATCTCAGAGGGCTGTGACTATTGTTCCTGTACCCATCTCCCCGATGGAGAAACTGAGGCACAGGGAAGCGGGTGACCCAGGCAGCTGTGCCACCCACCCACCCAGGGTTCCATACCTCCTATCCTGCCCCCAAGCTTCACAGGCACCCCGTGGGCCCAGCTGAGGCCCCACACTCGCTGCCTGAAGCTCAAACCCCACAGGGCAGGTAAGGGTCATGGCAGTCACAGGCACACATGGATAGTCATGCCACATGCAGATGTGGGGCAGTGACACACAAGGGCAAAGTCATAGCAAGGCACTGGGTTGTGTACAAGGGCCTGGAGGATGTGCCAAGGGGTGCATCCCCGGAGAGGGGCACACTCCAGCTCACAGACCAGACACACAGCTCACAGACACATAACAGGGGCCCATGGCCCCACAACTTTGGACACACAATTCCCCAAATGACATCAAAACCCTCAGACACATGCCCCTTGGACACACAACCTCTCAGAAACACAACCCTTGGACTCGCAACCCTTTGGACACACCCTTCCCCTCAGACTCACACCCTTTGGACACAACCGCTCAGGACACACATCTCAGGCTCACATCCTAGGAGGCAAATCTCTTAAGACACACAACTCTCCAACGCACGGCAGCACACTTGGACTTCCAAACCCAACCCTAACCACAGGTGCCGTTCAAATGACACCACACAAACCTCGGCCCGACGCGACACGCACCTGCTGGGCCCGGGGCCCTCTGGACGCTCACGGACCAGTCTTGCAGCTGCAGCACAGAGCTCGGAGCGCAGGGCTGCCACAGGTGCCTTCAGAATGTGCGGCCCCGCCCCCACGGGAGCTGATTGGGCGGGGTGGGGATCATTTGCATATGGGCCGTGATGGGCAGGCACTTGGGCGTGGCCCCGCCCCGGGAGTTCTGGAGACCCGGACTCAGACCCCGGAAGACGCTGAAAGGAGGGGGGCGTATAATGAAGAGACGGGACCAGGGCGGGGGCTGGATCAGACCCGCCAGACTCCCCCCCGCCCTCACTGCGTGCCCTGACCTTACTACTGTGTCCCTGACGCTAATTCGGACCCTGTCTCTAGTTCGGATCACTGCTAGCCCCAACCCTAGACTTATTCTAAACTGAGTGAAATATAACTCTGACCCAAGAGCCTGAAGGCCCCAGGGACCGAGCCCTTCTAGAAGCCAACACTGATCCTTGCTCTCACCCAAATGGAGGGACTGTTGCTCTTGGGTCGCCGATGTGGGCTTGCTCATATGGGCCCCTGTGGCTGGATGCTTGCTTGCCTCCCGTGTTTCCACAGGAGGGCAACAGACCCCTCTGGCTGCTGGATGCCCTCCTCCACTTGAAAGGTCAGCTGTGTGCAGGGGGTGTGGCTTCCAGGACTAGACCCCCAGCCCGGACCCCTGTATCCACTCCCTCCCTGGGATCCCAGCACCACCCAGCAGAGAGGGCCAGGTCCAGAAAGGAAATCAGAACAGGATTGGTGAGTGAATCAATGTGAATAGAATTACAAAATGAAGATGATTTTGGACTGGGTAATCCTAGAGAAGTCAGAGCTGCCACACACTCCCCCAACTCTGGGGAGCCAGGGAGGGCTTCCCAGAAAAGGGGGCATTTTATTGGGCCTTGAAGCATGAACAGGAGTTTGCCACTGGGAGAAGGGTTTTCCAAGAGGCAAAAGCACTTGCAAAAGTGTAGAGGCAGAGTGCAGAGTATTCTTTGGTCGGGGAGATGAGGGAGACGAAGCCAGAGCAGTAGACAGAAGCAGACTGGGCTGGGCACCCAAAGAGAGGCTCGAGATGAAGAGGAGGGGGTCGATTTGGGGCAGATAAAGTGGGAGAACAGGTGGTTTGCAACGGCTGCCTGGTATCCACCTTCTTGGAAGACAACAGGAGATGGCTAGATTCCTGGACTCTGTGGGGAGCATGCAGAGATGTGGGGTGGGGGGACACTGAGGCAGGGAACTGGGGTTCTGGGAGGCCTCTCCCCAAACCTCAATCTACCCATCTGTGACATGGGCAGTTTGGATCCCTAGTCTGGGCAAAGCTTTCATCTTTGGACATAAGCTAGGGTTCACATTGTCAGAAGGTAGGGACCAGGGGTCCTGCCTCTGCCCCCACTACACTGCCCCACAATGCCCAACGCCAAACACTCAGATGTCCCAAGGACACACCAGAGCCCAGGCTAGGATAGGGGCTTCTGCCTTGGCTCCAAAGCGCAAAACAAGGCTTGGGGAGCATGGAGGTGGCTGGGGAGCCCCAGGCCCCGCGAGGGCTGCTCTGTTTACCTGTGGCTGCCCGCCCGCCTCTGATGCAACAGGCAGGCTCTGGTTACGTGAGGGCAGCAGCTGAAGCAGCTCTGGGAGTAGCCAGGACGTGTTGGGAAGGGTCTGCCTGACCTGAGCTGGCTGGATCTACCCCCATGCATCCCACCCACTGCCCCCTCCCACCACTAGGGATCCCTCCCATGTTCCTGCCCCTCCTCCCCCACCACCACCACTCATGTTCCACACCCCCTTCCCATTCTGACCAGTTCCACCTTCTATCACTTGCACTGTTTCCTATAACAGCCCCTCCTTTTTGTCTTTACCCCAGTTCCTGTCCTATACCCTCCCCCATCACTGGCTGTGTCACCCCATGTGAACCTTCATCCCCTTGCAGGGCAAAGTCTCAACCTCAGTCTTCTCCAGATGAGGGGACACCCTTAGTTGCTGGAGTATGAGGTTGGAGAGTGGAAGGGAGGGTTGGGGAGGAGTAGAAAGGGCCATAGAGGGGGATTTGGGAAGGGGCCTGGAGGATGGGGGATGTATGCACAGGTGGAGCTAGGGTGAGAAGGTAGGAAGGAATGGAAAAGCTGCCTCTCCCTCCTCCAGATCCCCTCCCACAATGTCACAATGGGAAGGCTTTGAAGGACCCTCCATGGCAAGTATAGTGTGGTCCAGTAGATAGGGCCTCAGGGTTAGAGAGCCTGGGTCCCCATCCCAGTTCCGGTTCCCACTCACTGCATGATCTCAGGCTGGTCACTGCACCACTGTGAGTCTGTTCGCTCATGTGCAAAATGGGGACAATAGCAGCCCCTCCTCCTGGAGGCTGGAATCATTTCGAGGCCCACCTTCAATGTCCTCTCCTCCCATCTGGGGTTCCTCTATCCCCATCCCTCCTCCCAGCCCAGCACTGACCCAGGCGGTTGGGGATGTCTGTGTCTGATTCAGTTTCCCCCATCATGGAGGCTCCTCCAGGCCGGGTCCCGTGTGTGGTGGCATCAAAGGGGTGTCTTCAAGGGTTTCTTAAAGAACTAGAGAGCCCTGGAGAGGGTCTGAGTGATGGAGGGGCATGGGGACCAAGCTTGAGGCATCCAAAGACTTTGCTGGGGGATGTGGCAGAGCTAGGAAGGAATTTCCTAGGGGTAGGACCCTCTGGGAGTGTAGAGCAGGACTGAAATAAAAAACAGAACTTGGATTGGGGCTAAGGACAAAAAGCCAAAACTGAAGTCTGATTCCCATCCTGACCACTGTGGGCCAGCTGGAGGCAAGTCACTGTTCTCTTGGGCCTCCTTTTACTCCATCCACAGATTTGAAAGAGCCTGAGGTGGCCTCACAATTCACCCAGAGCTGAGATCCTTTTCAGGTCATCCCTACCCTCATGCATGCTAGGTTCCAGCTTGAATGCCTCATGGGACAAGGAGCTTACTGCCTCTCTCCCAGCTACCCTCAATTCCTATCTTGGGGCTGTCCTGGGAGCAAATCCTACTGAGTCGGGTCTGGGAATGCCCACACCTCCACCTTGGCAAGGAGGGGAGGCTGCCAGCAGAGCCCAGGAGCAAGCACATGAGGGTAGGTGCGAGGTCCTGCTGGGTAAACCGGCCTCATGGAACCTTAGTTCACGCTCTGAAAAATGGGGGCAAGGACGTATGGGGTGAAAAAGAGCAGAGGATCACAATGCACCCAGCAGGAACAGCCAGGAATGTGGACAATGACCACTTGGGAGGCCCACTGGCCTGACCAAGTCTTTGCTTCTTGCGCCCCCTGGTGGCCAGCGGGTGTGAACGTTCTCTAGGTGGGAGTGGGAGAGGGACATGCAAATGAATGCAAATAAACTAGCGACATAGGGAGCCCCCAGGCTGGGAGTGTGAGGGGTCTTCAGGCCAGAGTCCTGCTCTTTGAATGGAAAGGCTATGAGTCATTAGCTGAGATCGCACGGAGGGACTGTGGGTGATGGGGAGCCCTGGGAGTGTCTGGGGCACACCACGGCTGTTCCCGCCTAGGTCACAGGGCAGGAGCAAGCCCTCAGCAGCCCCTGGAATATATGCAATTAACTTATTTAGCTGCCTGTCTGGCCTGTCCGTCTGACCCCTAGGTCTGACAGGGCTGGCCTGTCTTGCTCACCAGGGCATCCCCTGGGCAGGGCCTGGCCCACAGAGGGCAGTCAAGGTTTGCTGGACAAATGGCTGCTTGATAGACAGGTGGAAGGACAGTCGGACAAGAAGTGCCTTCAGAGTGGGCAAACAAGAGGGAGAGTGACTCTGGGGGATGCCACACACCAGTCAAGGCCACTAATGGGGTGGACTTAAGGATCCTCCCTCCCCGCAAAACTGAGCTGGGGCAGTGCGGAGGCAGCATGGTGGACTGAGGCCCCTAATACATCCTAGAAAGGGGAAAGAACTGACCTATTTCCTGACTGTGTCACACCTCCTGTGTTCATGAACCCCGTTCTAGGCCCTCAGGCTCCTCCACAACACTGACACCCCACTAGGACCCTCTCTCCCCTAGGGTGCCCCTGACTCTTGGCACCACTCTCTTCCAACCAGAGCAGTGGGCCTGGGACTCACCCTGACTCTACCCCAAACAACTCCATTCTGCTCTCCCTGATATCTGGTGCTGGATACTGCACTGACACACAGCTGACCTTGGAGGGGTACAAACTGTGCACCATGGCCTTCCAGCCTTGACAGTCATAGCGGTCAGTATGGGCTCTCCTGCCAGCAGCAGATATTGACTCAGAGCAATTTTGGCAAATACAGTAAGGTGGAGACTAATGATACTGAGGCATCAAGTTTTGCTGGTGTCAGGTACAGATGGGTCTAAGACCCCACGAGTGTTCTTGGTCTCCCCTTCTATCTGCCTAGCTCAACAACCCTAATGGGAAGACGGTGACTTCCCCATGCTTCCCAGCAAAATTTCTGGGTGAGACCTCTCCCTGGGTCACACGCTCATCTCCACCCAGTCTCGGTGACCTGGGAGAGGGAGGCTCTGATTGGCCAATGAAAGGTAGCTTTTCCATATGGCCCGAGTCTGGGGTGGGCATTTCTGCTCAAGACAGAATGCGGGCCATGCAGGTAGGTACACAAATGCCCCCCTCAGCCTGTAGGGAAGGCCCAGCCCAGCCTTCCTTGTCCAGGAGGAGAAAGGGAGGACCAGAGAGACCCAGCTCTGGGCCCCATGTCACACAGCATGTCAGAGAGAGGGCTGGGACTAAGCCAGACGAGTCCGCTGTGTGACCTTGTACAGCTCATGCCACCTCTTGAAGACTCTTTTCCCATTTGTATTTGAGGGTGACACCTGCCTTACAGGGCTGCCTGAGGATGAAGGATGAAAAGATGACCCTTGCAAAAGCCCCAGCATAGTGCCAGGCACACAGTGAGTGGCTGATCAGGTTTAACAGGGTGGCAGTTATTGGTCTGAGGGGCCACGGCCATGACCGTGTCCATGATTGATGGGGGGCAGGCAGGTGTCCAGGGGCAGCAAAGCCTTATCTCTAGACATTCACAGAGGGACTGAGGCTCTAGGCAGAAGAGGAATGTGCTGACCACACTTACTCGGTCTTCAGTCCCTGCCAGATCCCAGAGTTGTGTCCAAAGGCCTGGCTTTAGTTGGGCTGGGGGATGAGGGTCAGGGAGAGGTGTGAGACCCTCGGGGCTGCAAGGCCACCCTGATGAGGCAGCACCTGAGGCAGGAGCCTGGTTGTGGGACTGGGAGAAGTGAAACCCAGGGCTTGGAGGGTCCGGGTATGACTCCCACTTCTGGTCAAGGGTGGTGACCCCGCCTCACCTCTCTGAGCCTGTTTCCTCTTCTATAAAAGGGAACTGTGCGTACAGGCCCAGGACTGGAAAGGCAGGTGAAGTCAGAAGCCGGGGAGACTGCAACTTGACCCTATAAAGACCACTAATCACCCTGTGGGGTGCAGTATTGGGGGAAAAGTGGGGATGGAAGACTCTGAGAGGGACAGTGGGCAGCAATTCTGAAGAGGAAGGGACCAGGGTCTGTAGGGACACAGGCAGGATCCAGAGGAGCCACAGAGCATTTTATTCCGAGGGGCTGCAGCAGCAGAGGGACAGTAGAAGACACGGGGTGTCGGAAGGGCAGTATCCTTGAGGTTGGATGGTGGGAGGGACCAGGGCAAAGACGAGGAGGGAGATGGTGGTCTGTGGGCCCAGGGCTGGTGGGCAACCCTGTGCAGGCCACTGGGGTGGGCTGCTGATGCTCTTGGCAGCCCCCCCTGCTCCAGGCCCTCCTGATGCCCCCTAGGCAATCCCACAGCCTGTGGGACTCCCCAGTACCCCGAGAGAGCTAAACGTAGCACCCAGCAGCTGTTCACGAAGTCCTCACACCACACAGGCAGGAGCTCTGTTGTCTCTCGGTTCTGGGGAGGCGCTATTGCTCTGGGGCTGTGAAGGCCCGGTCCCCACCCCAGCCCTCTGAGAGCGCCATCACAGTGCCCGGCAAATGAGCAGGGCTTTGAGAGCTACAAGAGTAAGGGCTAGAAAGTCCCTCAGGGGCCTCCCATCTGCCGGGGTCTGCCCTCCACGGGCACAGAAGAGCAACATGCGCGGCCTTCCTGGGCGCCATGCTCTCCTCACGTGGTCAGCCACACTCTTGGTGTTGATGCCTCCCTGCAGGCCTCACCCCTTGGCTTTTGGGCCTGGCCACATGGCTGGCCTTGACCAATGGAACAGCCGCAAGGTGAACGTCGTGCATGCTGGGGCTGCTCTCTTTGGCACCCGGTCCCCAGAGAAGCCTGGGCTGGCCTGCCTGGGAGGCCATGCCCAGGAGGACTGGACCCCCAGCAGCCAGACAGCAGTGGTCAAGATTCAGATGTGACAGCAAGGCCGCCTCTGACTGTGCAGCCCCATCAAACTCTGATGAGTGCCAGATGGTGGCCTCCAGGTCAGCCCGGCCAACGTGCCCAGCGGGGCCCAGCCCACGTTGCAGAACTGCGAGCAGGCCCACGACTGGTGTGTTGGCCCCTAAGTTCTGGGAAAGTCTGTCATGCGGCAGTAGCTGACAGCTACAACACACATCACTGGGCACAGCACCCTCCGCTGCCTGACGAGCCACTCTGACAGAAGGGAAAAGCAGAGACCAGAGAGGGGAGGGACTTTCTCAGGGTCACACGGCAGGTCGGCAGTGGGGCGAAGATTCCTGAGCTGGGTGGGTAACCGCCATGCTGGGCTCTGCCTGAGAGAATGTGTGTGAGCAGAGCAAGCAGTGGGCACATGGCAGGTTAGGAGAAGCATGGAATCCCCTTTCTGCCTTGGCAGGGGGAACTTGGGGTTGGGACAGGGTCTGTGGCCTGGATAAGGGGCAGGAAGGTGGCAGAAAAGAACACGAGGGAGAAGGGCTGACGACGTCCTGAGCAGCAGAGGGCTTAAGGTCCCTACCACCCTGAAGCCTCCCACTGATGAAAGCATCCTACAAGCCCAGGGAGAAAGCCCACATGGTTAGACAAGCAGGTCCCTTTTGGGATACTGAGAGGGTGGGTTAGTTCAGAGCACGGAGGAAGGAGGCTCATGACCCCACTTGGCACTGACCTGCATCAGAGGGGCCAAAGCACCTCCAAGTCTCTTCTGAGATCAGGCTGAGGAGGGCGGGGGTGGTTCCTCAGGGCTGGAACAAAACATGTGCAGCATCCTTGAGGCCGAGGTCAGAGGCCAGTCGGGCCTGCTCACTTAGGCGAGATGGGACTGGATCACCCTCCGGTCCCCTAAGACCACTGGCCTCAGCCTTCAGGGCATCCTCTGTAAAAATGGGACCAGCCACCCACTTCAGAGGTCATGGTGGGGACTCATGCAGGACCGGGCCCTTCAAACCCACAGGGCTGGCACAGAGAAGGGGGAGAAGCGCATCACGCCACTACGGCCTTTTTCAGAAGCACCTGCCTTTTCACAGTGGCAGGCTCAAGCAAGGCCTTCAAAAGCACTCGGGACACCGTGAATGAAAAGTCAGAGCAATGGCTTTTCGCAGCCCTACTGTGCACAGGGTGCCATGCGTGACACTACACAGTAAACTCTCATCCGGATGGCTGTCACCGACCTGCGGCGCAACGAACCCAGAGAAACGCACGTGATGCTACCCTCAGAAACAGCGGCATGCCCATTCTTATACATCCACAAGGCTTTTTTTGTTTTTGACAATTCTTGTGTCTCAGTTTTCAGAAACAGTGACACAGATTTTTTTTTCCTTCTAAACATCTGGTGGGGGACAGGCATGCCAGAACCCCTAAACTGCAGGAGCCAGACATATCTCAAAGTCGGGTTCCAGCTCACAGCACGTGCCCATGTGTTCAAATGTATGTTTATTACGTTAGTGTGAAAATGAAAACAAAATCTCTCTCCCCCGTGTGCAAGGACTGCAAGTGCTTTTCATTTTGAGGCCGTCTGGTGCTCGGTCTGAAGCCTCCTTCAGCTCCGGGGCCCTCCCTGCTGCTGGTAAGGCTCCCCCTTGCTCCCCAGCTCCGGTCACACGCACCTCCTAGATGTTCCTCCAACACTAGCCCCAGATCACCAGCCCCAGGGCCTCTGGCCTCACCAGGGCACCTCTGTCTGCATGGTGTTCAGGCCTCTGCTCCCACCTCCCTTTTCTTCCTTCATGCATCTGAAGTGCTCTTGTCTGTTCCGTGTTTACCTGGTCGCTGTGTGCTTCCCCGTGAGACCAGGAGCACGCGGGTGTTGGTCACTGCCGTGTCCCCAGTCCCCAGCCCAGGGCTGGACTCACAGCAGAGCTCAGGACTAGGTGCTGAGTGGCTGAACTCTCCCACTACAGATGCCAAAGGACAAGAGGAAGCCACCAGATACCATGAGATGAGGAAAGGGAGCTAAGGAGTGAGAAGCGGCAGTTCCTGGCTGAGCAGCAAAGGTCCTTACAGTGAGGAGGCTGAGAGGAGCAGGAGGACGCGGTCCCCGGAGCTACCTGTGGCCCTGGGCAGCAGCGTTCATGTGGTCCCGGATGCTGATGGCCTGTTTGAGAAGACCCTCCACGCTGCGGAAGTAGACGCTGCTGTCGACGAGGTTCTTCACGGCGCTAAAATGGGAGGATGGACCCTGTCGGCGCCACGCCTGCTTTACCCTCCCCTTCCCATGCGTGCAGGTGTATCCTCTCAAACGGAGGTTGGTGGAGGTTCTGCATGGGCTCAGGGCTCAGCAGGCACCTGGGGGATACTATGGTCCTCCTGGAGGGCTCATCATGGGCTTCAACTTTAGATTTCTCTGCCGTGCCTAGATGACATCCATCCAACAGAGCACATGATGGCCAGATGCAACTTTTTTTTAAGTTTTTATTTATTTATCCACTTAAGTAATCTCTACACCTAACACAGGGCTCGAACTCATGACCCCGAGATCAAGGGTCACATGCTCTTTCTCCTGAGGCAGCCAGGCACCCCAGATGCAACTTTTACATCCCTGCTGCTAGATCAACTAATCTTTGTTTGTTTGTTTGGTTTGGTTTTTTGTAAAGATTTTATTTATTTATTGGAGAGAGAGAGAGACAGCACAAGCAGGGGGAATGGCAGAGGGAGCGAGAGAAGCAGGCCCCCCGCTGAGCAGGGAGCCTGATGTGGAACTGGATCCCAGGACCCTGGGATCACGACCTCAGCCAAAGGTAGACGCTTAACCAAGTGAGCCACCCAGGTGCCCCTGGATCACCTGTTTTTGTTTTTTTTTGGATCACCTAATGTTTTGAAGACGCTATAAGCATGTAAAGATACCCTCAAAGACATCTTGCTTTCCTCTTAGATAACCTATTCCTGCCTCTGAAGGAAGCTTATCAACTCAACTATGAAAAGCTCTGGAGGTGAGTTTGGAGGGAACTAGAATAATTCACCACTGTTTGGTGGGGGGGGGGCACCACGGCAAAGCTGTGCTAACCTCGTGTTGGTGCCACATTGATGAATGTCTAAGGAAAATGGCCTTTCCAAAGGCACTAAAGGAAAATGTTTACCAGGCCACTCAGGGCCTTGCTAATGCCAGCAAGTCACCTGTGTAACATCTGCAGTAAAAATAAAAATGTCATTTTAAAGCCCTTCTAATAAAGACCAAGAAATCACTCCCATTGATTATCAGCCAGGGACCTGCTGGAAAATGGCCAGGAGATCAAAGCGGGAGTGGGGGCAGGGAGGAGCCTTGGCTGTCACCTGCTCTGTTAGCTTGCTCATCTTAGCACCACCAAATGCAGTCAGCTTTTCTGTGTTTGCCCACCTTGATAAAAAGCTCGCTATTATAAGTTCCCTACTGAATAGTTTACCCCAATTTAATACCTTTAAATTTTACACCAACTGTTAACACTGTGTAAAGCATTTTGAACAACTAAAAGATAAGGGCTCTTTCATGTCCGTAAAGGAAACCTGGTCTCTTAGCATAGAGAAATTTACATCTCCCTCAAGAGAAGTGCTCAGAGTACACTGGCCTCCTGCCTAGCTCAGCATGGCCCAGTGGAACTTTCTGGAACATGGTAGATACATTCTTTATCCACTGACTTGGCTGCTAAGCACCTGAAATATGGTTATGTGAGACAGAGGAGATGAATCTTTTATTTCATTTTGCTGCATTAAAATTTTAAGCGTGAACAGTCACCCATAGCCTGGACTCCTGCACTAGATGGGGCAGCTAGAAGAACCGGGAGAAAGTACGGACTCTGACGTGTTCTTCCTTTAACCTGGGCCTCGCTAGCGAGCTCGCAGCTGTCCAGAAGCTGTCTGGCAGCTGTTTGGCAGACGTGAGACAGAAACTCCTCTACTTCTTTTCTACTCTTCCTTGAGCTAATTAAGGAGGGTATCTGAGGCCACCATCCTCAAGAAAACGCCATCTGTCCCAGTGGAGGGGCCAAGGCTGCTGATGGCAGAACACTCAGCTCAGTGCCCCTGGCAGCAGGACTTCCTGTCAAGGAACCTTCGCCCACACAACAGAAACAGGCAGGCCAAGCCCACGGTGCCACAGATGAGAACTGCCGGTGTGTCCGGCCTCCATCAAAATGACTTAGCCAGCACAAAGGGCAAGCAGCACTTCTAAATGAAACTGCCAGACTCCCGAGGCAAACAGAAGAAGCCAGGACGTTAAGTATAGTTAGGGGAACCAACAGAAGAGCAGGAGGCAAGCCCTACAAAGGTGCAATGATGAAAAGAAATGCTGACTACCGCTTTTTACTCTCTCACACACCTTTCCCTTGGCGGGGGCGGGGCAGAGGAGATCTGAAGATTTAGTGAAAGCTAAACACAAACTAAGAAGAATAAGAATAAAGGGTCCACTCACGTTCACAGCAACACTATCCACAGTAGCTAAAGCATGGAAGCCACCCAAATGTCCACTGACAGATGCCTACAATGTGGTGCCCCTATGCAATGGGATGCCATTCGACCTTCAGGAGGAAGGACATTCTGACACAGGCTGCCACACAGGGAGACCTGGGGGACAGCATGCTGAGGGACAGGAGATGGACACAAAAGACAAATACTGTAGATTCCAATTGTGTGAGGTCCCTAGAATGGTCAGATTCTTAAATAGGAAACAGAATGGTGGATGCCAGGGGCTAGGAGAGAGGGGAAGGTGAATTAGTGTTGAATGGGGAGAATTTCAGATTTGCCAGATGAAAAAAATTCTGGAAATGGATGGTGGTGATGGCTGCACAGCATTATGAATGTATTTAATACCACTGAACTGTACACTTAAAAATGGTCAAGGTGATAAATTTTATGTGTATGTTACACAATAAAAAAAACCAGAGGGGCGACTCGCTGGCTCACTCAGTGGAGCTTGCAGCCTTTGACCTCAGGGTCCTGAGTTTGAGCCCCACATTGGGTGTGGAGCCTACTTAAAATTAAAAGAAAAAATTGGAAAGAAATAAAAATTTAAGGGGCACCTGGGTGGCTCTGTCCGTTAAGAGTCTGCCTTCAGGTCAGGTCATGATCCCAGAGCCCTGGGATCAAGTCCCACATTGGGCTCCCTGCTCAGTGGGGAGTCTCTCACTCTCCCTCTGCACCCCCCGCACTTGTGCTCTCTAATAAATAAATAAAATCTTAAAATAAATAAATACATAAACATTTAAAAATAAACAGCCATATTTGTGCTTTGGCCCTCCCCCCAAGCTGCTGTTCATCCCACTGGCCAATCTGTGGTCCTGGCTGTGGGATGGAAATGCCCCTTGAGGCACTGGCTCCCGGCCCAGTTGGTACCTCCCCGAAACCGTTATCACCCCTTCCTATGACACATGGGGAGGGGCTCAGCTCCCTGAAGAAGCCTGCCTGAGGCACGTGCGGGTTGGGCCAATGGTGAGAAGCACAGGCCTGGGCTGGAACCTGCTGTGTGGCCAGGTAAGTCAAGATCCACACGCTTCAACTCAGGTGCATTCAGCAGGGCAAGATTCACTGGGCAGCTGGCTGAGATGCCCCTGAATGCCCAAGAGGTGCCCCCCGGCAGTGGGGAGGCTGCTGTGCTCACCTGCAGGCATACTCCACTGTGTAAATGGCTCCCTGGCTCTGCTCCTCCCACCGCTGCATGTCAGCCTGTGGGGGATAGGAAGCTGTTATCAAGGGGGCTGCCACCTCCACCCTCCCAGTTCTCTGGGATGGAGCACCTGATCACCCATCACTGCGGCCACAGAGACCAGCCACCTCCATTCTGATCTTCCCTCCCACAGATCCCCTCCCCCACCAGCCTGGGCTTTCTCTGAACACCTGGCTACTGTGCTTCAGAGCTTCTGCACTGGCTGTTCCCTCTGCCTGGCACATCTTTCCCTCGGGTCCACACGCGCTGCCTCCTTCTCACTACACAGGTCACAACAAATGCACATCCTGCGTCCCCTTCTCCCAAGTCTGTCCACCCATGGCCCCAACCTGTCTCAGTGACCTTGTGCCTCCTTGCTGGGGTCCCAGCTTTGACTCCTCCCCCAACAGCCCCAGCTCCACATAGCAGGTCCTGGCTCATGACGTGAGGACTCTGGGGGAGGGCAGGGGAAAGGGCAAGTGGAGCTCACCTTATGCTGGGCCAGCTCGGGCAGAGAGCGGCGCACGTGTTCCTGCAGCCGGTATAGGGCCACGGACGGCTCGTTGGCAAGGACATAGACGCTCTCAGTGAACTTGTCTGTGACTGGATTGAGAATCAACAGTTGGGGGTAGGGGTGGGGGGGTGGCAGAACAAGGGGAAGGGCAGCAGAGACACAGGGACAAAGCATAAGACCCTTGATTGATTGCTTAATCCATGAGTCTAGCTAGGCAGTGAGGACTGCCCAGTGTCCCACCCAGGAGCTAGGTCACCTGTGGCCCTGGTGATAGGTGGAAGGAAATGGTCACAGAAAAGGCCTCACTTATCATGATGTTAACACATTCAGTGGGGCGCCTGGGTGGCTCAGTTGGTTAAGCGACTGCCTTCCACTCAGGTCATGATCCTGGAGTCCTGGGATCGAGTCCTACATCGGGCTCCCTGCTCAGCAGGGGGTCTGCTTCTCCCTCTGACCCTCTTCCCTCTCGTGCTCTCTCTCATTCTCTCTCTCTCAAATAAATAAATAAAATATTTAAAAAAAAATATCCAGTGGACTCATGATCTTTCCCCTCCCAAGCCCACCTGTAGTAGACACTGCTTCTGTCCACTTGGACCCTTTCACATTCCTTTTATCCCAAGGAATGAATCTGAGATTCTTCTTCAGAGGGTCCCACCAGTTACTGGACCTGAAAATGCCTGGAAGCTTAGATCCCTGGATGGCCTTCAGCCATGACTGACCATCAAAGGGTATTAAATCATGTCCCATGCCTTTTGTTGGGACAATGTGGAGGTATAACTCATCCTTCTGAGTTCTCCTGACGGATCAGGCTGAGAATTTTACCTGACAGCACTCCTTGCTCAGCTTCCTCCCTCTCCTGTTTCTCTCTCTTCCCTCATCCATTCTTACCACTACACTGCCCCCACTGGTCTGGGTGTGGCCACCTCCCACCTGAATACCAAGTTCAGTCAGCTCCTCCCTGGTCTCCCTGCTTCCCCTCTGCCAACAGTCCAATCTCCACACAACAGATGAAGTGAGCTCCTAATGAACCTATCAGATATGTCCCTCCCTTGTCTGAAATCCTCCCATGGCTCCCATCGACCACAGCATAAAATCACCTAACTTACTATGGCCCATAAGGCTCTACATTCTGCCTGCTGTTGACCTCCCTGCCCTCCTCACCCTCCACCCAAGGCACAATGACCTCCTGGCTGTTCCTTGAATACCCTAGTACTGTCCAAAAGAACTGAGATTATAGAAAGGTTCTATAATCTATAGTATCCAATAACATAGGCACTAGGCACATATGGCCACTGAGCACTTGAAATGTGGCTAATATGACTCACAAACTGAATTTTATTATTTTTTTTAAATCTTAATTCCAGTATAGTTCACATACAGTTACATTACAGTTACATACAGTTTCAGGTGTACTAATGTAGTGATTCAACAATTCTATACATTACTCGATGCTCACTGTATGAATTTTAAATTTTACCTAATTTTAATTAAATTAAATACCCACAAATATCGTGACCAGGAGCTGCCGTATTGCCGCACAGCTCTGAACACTTTGCCACCTCAGTGACTTTGCACCTGTTGTTCTGCCACTGACTCCCCCTTCCCTCACTGGCTTCTTTTCATCCCTCCTGTCTCAACTCAAATGTCACCTCCTGGGCAAGGCCTTCCCTGATCACCAAGCTTAATCAGATGTCCCTTCCACCTCATTCTCAACCTTCAGCACCTTGTTCATTTCTCTTACACTTTATTAGTTACATGTGTAAAAAAAAAAAAAAAAGCTTGGATTCTTGAGGGCAGGAGATTCTCTGAGCCTCAGTTTCCTCATCTGTAAAAACAGAGTGATAATAGCACCCACTCAAGGTTTGTTACAGGGATGGACCCCATGCTATTGCCCAGTACAGTGCGGTGGACAAGAGAGAGAACCCTGGTGTGTCAGGGATTCAAAGGAGGCTGTGCATGAGTCTGGCCAGTGTCAGTCTGTCTAGCTCACTACTGCGCCCTCAGTGGGGCAGAGCCCATCCTGCAACCTCTAAACTGTATGTACTCTAATCCTCCTAGTCCTCCTCATTTTGAAAATGTGCATAACAGCTTACCCTTCAGTGTTGTTGCAAGAAGGTGGAATGAAATGTACTTGTGCCTTCTAAATAATCGACTAGAAATAACGTGTGTGATAAAATAAAAACCTTTATGACTTAGAAATAGTTTGTGGCAGGGGCGCCTGGGTGGCTCAGTCGTTAAGAGTCTGCCTTCGGCTCAGGTCATGACCCCGGGGTCCTGGGATCAAGCCCCGCATCGGGCTCCCTGCTCGGCGGGAAGCCTGCTTCTCCCTCCCACTCCCCCTGCTTATGTGTCCTCTCTCACTGTGTCTTTGTCAAGTAAATAAGTAAAATCTTTAAAAAAAAATAGTTTGTGGCACTTTGTAATTTGTAAACACGTTGACTCACAAGTATTTTAACGTAAACCCAGACAAATGCGTAAACATATTAGGGAATAATACGCACAGCGACTGCCAAGTCCCAGGCGTTCTTATAATGCATTACAAACATCAGGTCATTGAATTCTCACAACAAACCTATGGGGGACCGGGAGAGACTACCATACACCCCATTTTACAGATGACAAAACCGAGGCACGGAGACTTTCTAAAGGTTTTAAAACTAGTCAACGGCCGAGCCAGGATTCAATGGTAGTTCAATTAGTTTCCCCGCATGCTCCCTCCAAGCCTTTGTCCCCTCCTGCCCTGTCGGGTCACCCTTCCGCCCAGCCCAAGGCTCTGCACCACCTTTCTTTCCCTTGAGTTGCATCTCCGGTTCCTCCATAGCTACCATGGACCGATCCGAAGACCGGAAGCAGAAGTTCGGCTGTGGGGAATGCTACCTAAATCTCCCCCTGTGAAACCAGACGCTGCGCCACTCTAGTTCCGGTGTCAATTGGCCTTCTTCCCCAGTCCTTTCTGAGTACCCAAACTGGAGAGAAGCCGTGAGTGAGAGACTGGGGAAGGAGGCACACCGGTAGGCGGGTGAGGAAGGGGCGGAGAATCCCTGAAGCTCCAGAAGGGACACCTAGTCAGGGAGGGGCAAGGGCGCCCTCCCTTCCCGAACTCCCTTTTCCGGGGGTAGAAGAATTGGGGAAATGGTTCCAAACATTGCCCACTTCGGGCTGCTTTAAACGGCCTCTCTGTACCCTCCTGCTGCCATCAGATCCTTACACATGCTCATAAGCCTCCAGGACCGCAAAGAGGGCATTGTTGTGGACGGGTGCAACGGCAGTGGCGCCCCTTTAAATCCCTGACGCCCCGACTGCTCCCCGCCCACCGCCTTCCCGACTGGAGAAAGTCCCACCCATCCGGCCTCCACGAGAGCCTAGCGGCACCCTCTGGAAAAATCTGTGGGCGGAGCTGGGGGGGAGTGACGGAAGACAGGCGCAATGAAATCCTCAGAATCCTCTGAGGCTCCACCCATCCCTTCTGACCCGGCCGGGCTCCCTCCGGAGATGCCGGGGAAAGAGTGCGCAAGCGCAACAGCCTGCTTGGGCCCCAGCGGAAACCACGCCCCTCCCTCAAGTCTTAAAGGGCCAGAAGCAGCTTCTCTACAGCTCCTGCCTTTAGGCACTTTTGGGGAGGCAGGGTGCGCAGGCGCAGTGGGAGAGCTCTGGGGTGGGGGTAGCGGTCGCGTATCAAGTTGCTCTCTGTCCCGGCAGAAGAATCCAGGACGCTGAGGGTCCAGGTTCTAGCTTGCTCCCTCCTGTATCAGTTGAAGGAGAAAAGTTTGTGAATTGGGCCCCCAAGTTTTGGGGGACCCGTGCTTGCGGCGTGGGGTGACAGAGGCTCTTTAGAGGTGAGTGGACCTGCTGGATCTGTTTGGGAGGGACCGATGGGGATGGGACCAATCACATCTTTGTTGAGCACTCACTCATTCTGGGGACCCCCCAAAAAATAACTACAGAGAACATTTATTAAGCTCTGCCCGTATATAAGGCCCCCAGCTTAGCGGTTTACAAGCGTGATTTTAGACCTCACTTCCCTATTTTATTAATGAGTAAATTGAGGCTCAGAGAAGTTGTCATGTACCCAAGTTCTCCGCCTATAATTGGAGGGATTTGAACCCAGGTAGTTGACCCCATTTTAAGTAAAGCATGTTGTATGTGTCCTAGTGAGGGGGGTGGAGGAGTGGGCCTGAAAAGCAGATGGACTCTGGTTTTTACTTCCCAGCTGAGCTAGAGTTTAGCCACCCTCACTGCGCAAAGTTGGGTATGCCGTTGGTGCCTACTTAATAGGAGTTGTTGAGAATTATTCTCTCTCCCCTTTTGGTGCTTCCACCAGCTTCCCCCATGGAGCCCACCCAGCCTGCAGAGGACCTCAGTGTGACCCAGCAGCTCCCCATCCCAGAATTTGGGGACCCTGAAGACCCTGGGGATGAGGCCCCTGATGGCTCAGATACTGTGGTGCTCAGTCTTTTCCCCTGCACCCTGGAGCCTGGGAATCCTGAACCGGATGCTGGTGCCTCCTCACCTCAGGGTAGGTAGGATATTTCCCCTGGACTCCTCCTGCGTCTAGGATGCAAGGACAATGGAATGTCAGGTCCAAGATAGGACCTCTGTCTTTATGTTCCACTACCTGGGATGTGTCTTTTCTCTCACCCAGTGAGAGATTACTTTTATACATGCACACACACATACACACATATGTATAGATGATGGCTAAATCCACATGACGTAAAAGTTACTATTTTAAACAGACTTGCATACAGTTCAGTGGCAGTAAGTACATTCACAATGTGTGTAACGCCCACCTCTATTATTCCAGACCATTTCCATCACCCCAAAGGAAACCCCATCCCCGTTAGTAGTCACTCTCCATCCCTCCTCCCCTGCCTCCATCAACAGTAATCTACTTTCTGTCTCTATGGATTTGCTTGTCCTAGACGTTTCATATAAATGAATCATACAACATGTCTTTTGTGTCTGGCTTCTTTTGCTCAGCATGATGGTTTTTTGTTTTAAGTTTTATTTATTTAATCTCTACATCCCACCTGGGGCTTGAACCCATGAGCCCGAGATCAAGAGTCACATGCTCCTCTGACCAAGCCAGCCAGGCGCCCCTCAGCGTGGTGTTTTTGAGGTTCATTCGCATTACAGCATGTGTCAGTGCTTCTTTACTTTTTATGACCTGATAATAGTCCATTCCAGACGACATTTTGCTTATCCCTTCATCCACTGATGGACACTAGGGTTGTTCCTCTTTTGGCAATCATGATTAGCATTGCTCTACACATTGGTGTACAAGTTTTTGTCTGAGCAGTTGATTTCAGCTCTTTGGGGTAGATACTTAGGAGTGGAATTGCTGGGTCAGATGGTGATTCTGTTGACCCTATTAAGGACCCAAGGATTTCTTTTCGCTAGAGTCCTTGAACACGTCGAATTCAGTACTTCCTGGGGCCTTGGTCCCTGCTGTTCCCTCTGGGTGGAAAGTTCTTCTCACACCTCTTCCCAGGGCTGGTTTTCTTCAACTGACCAAGCTCTCGGCTGGTGTCCTCTCCTCAGAGTGGCCCTCCCTGACCACCTTGTCTAAAATGGACTCACCCCCGCCCTCCCCTCTTTCTTCTCTCTTCTACCTGCTTTTTGTAGCTCCTGAACACTTATTTCTCTATTTCTGTCTGAACCCCCCCCACTTTGAAGGCAGGGACTATGTCTCATTTGCCCAGAATGTCACCAGGTGTAGAGGAGAAAGGCTCACCAGGAGGGCAGAGTGAGTGAATGGTGGAGTGAGGCACTGTCTTTGGTAGCTTCAGGCCCCCAAGGACTTGTCTGAAGCCCCAGAAACATACTGAGAGGAAACTGAGGCCATTTCTTTCTCTTCCAGGAGGCAGCTCCCTGAAGCACTCAACAACCCTCACCAACCGGCAGCGGGGGAACGAGGTTTCGGCCCTGCCAGCCACCCTGGACTGTAAGTGGGCCTCTGGTTACCCACCCCACCCCCCCGGCCTCCCTAAGTAGTAGGGCAGGGGCAGTAGGAGTGGCAGGGGCTGAGAGGAGCAACTTTGGTTGGGGTAAATTGAGGCACGGAGCCGGGACGGGATGGGTGAGGACTCTGGCTCTCTCTGGCCCCTAGCCCTGTCCATCCACCAGCTTGCGGCCCAAGGGGAGCTGAGCCAGCTGAAGGAACATCTGAGGAAAGGTGTGTGTCCACACGAGTACACTGGTGTATCCATACCTGTCTGACCACACATGTTGGGGTATGCATGTGGGTCCTGAAATGACCTGAGGCTCCACGTATGTTCACCTATCTACACGTTTGAGCATGTCCACACATGTAACCCCCCCGCCCATGTCTGACCTCAGCCGCCTGCCCTGTCCCTGCTCCCGCAAGCACTGGGGAGAGTGGGCAGGGGTGCATCCCAGTGGTACCACCCCCCTCCTGCCAGGCGACAACCTCATCAACAAGCCGGACGAGCATGGCTTCACCCCACTCATCTGGGCCTCCGCCTTCGGAGAAATCGAGACTGTCCGCTTCTTGCTCGAGTGGGTGCGTCCAGCCCAGCTCAGGGCTTCCCAGGGACTTGAGGGTGGGCTGGGGTCTGAGTCAGCTGGTGCCATGTCTGTAAGATGGGGCCGCAGTGGGTACCCCAGGATTCCAGGGGATGCCCCCACTCATCCCATCACCACTCCCTCTGCTCCCCACCCCCACCCCACTGCAGGGTGCTGACCCCCACATCCTGGCCAAGGAGCGGGAAAGTGCCCTGTCACTGGCCAGCATGGGCGGCTACACAGACATCGTGGGGCTGCTGCTCGAGCGTGACGTGGACATCAACATCTACGACTGGGTGAGGCACCAGCCACTGGCCCTGCGCACCTCACAGGGTACCAGGCCTGTTATAGGTCCTGAGAACACAAGACAGACCCATCCCTGACCTCGCAGAGCTCCTAGTTTAGCGGGGAGGAAGAGGAAGACGATACATAAGCAGTCAGCTGAAATGTGAATACCGCTGTGATAGCAGACACACAGGCAACTGCAAGGGCCTGGAAGTGGCTTACATAGCCAAGGGAAGTCAAGGAGGCCTTCCTGAAAGAAGGGGTATCTAAGCTGAGACCCAAAGGAGGAATTAGACCAGGTGATGAGTAGGAGGAGGAACCACATTAAATTAGAGGGTTGGGGGTGTTGTGAGAATCTGGAAAAGACAGAATGTTGGTTGCTCTTGCCCCTGCCCTTAACAGAATGGAGGGACACCACTGCTGTATGCTGTGCGTGGGAACCATGTGAAGTGCGTAGAAGCCTTGTTGGGTAAGTGGGAGTAGCAGCTGGCCTCCCAGGAATCCTGAGGGCCAGGGAGGGGTCCAAGCTCTGCTTGAACAGCTCTTGGGATGCGTGGTCACTATCTGCTTTTCCCAGAGGACTGATTTGGGGACAGGAGATGGTGGGATAGTACAGGGGTCTAGCTAACTGGGTTGAACACCCACACCCTCCTTGCCTCAGGGACCCTGGAGATGGGGATTCTATTGGCCACATTCTTTGGAGAGCTCAGGTTCTCATCCAGGCCCACACCGGCAACCAGCAGGCCTGTGGCTGTACTGTGAGGGATCACTGGACCTCTCAAATCGCCATGCCCCATTCTGGGCTCCCAGTCCCCTACCCCCACCCCCACCCCCCTGTACACCTGCTTTGCTTTGCAGCCCGAGGAGCTGATCTCACCACGGAGGCTGACTCTGGCTATACCCCAATGGATCTTGCCGTGGCCCTAGGATATCGGAAAGGTCAGCCTGAGACATGGGGCAGTGACAGTGTGCTGTATGTAGAGTGATTGCAGAGGGGTACACAGGACATCCCTCTTGGATGTGTCACATGCCAGCAGTGAGAGCGTTCATGTTAGCAAACATCTAGTGCCACAGTGTACCTGGCCTGGGCACGGAGGCTGATGTGGGTCAGCGACTGGGTTCATGATGGGATACACACAGACACTGGGAGGCCCAAAGGAAGCTCTGGCCCAGCCCCATGATAGGTGGGAGTCAGGGAGGGCTTCCTGGAGGCCCAAGGGGAGGGAGGGAGGGTGGTGTCCAGGCTGGAGGAACAGTACACACACACAGGCCTGGCAGAATGAGGATGCCAAGGAGCCACAGCGCACAGGCTCACTGAGGCTAGCCCTCTCTGTGGCAAGAGGTAGGTGTGAGTAGGGACCATAGGCAGACCCCAGTTTTGATTCTCCATTTCCCCCTTCAGCTTCCCCATCTAGAAAATGGAGAGATACTAATAGAACCAAACCCTTGGGGTCATGGGGGGATTCCTTTGAGTTTTATCCCACTTGGGACAGAAATCATTCCTCAAGGCCCCTCTCATCCTTTAATAAAAGTCACAAGTCACCAATTTTGTTTGATAAAGACTGTTTTTATGACTCTAAAAAGCCTCCAAAAGTGCATTTTTACAAACCATGGGGAAGTTGAGTTTCCTGGCTTGGGTGCCTGTCTTCCCAGCTGTACTCTGGGGAGAGTGTGGATTTCCCCATGTATGATGTAGGTCCTCCATCCATGTCCCAGGGCTTGGAGATCCCTCTCTGCCCCCGAGAGGCAGGGTGCAGTTCTCATGGTGGGATACCCCAGCTCATCCCCCAGGAAAGTGTACACTTTGGCCGTTGCCCCTGCAGCCTCCATTGGATTCATGGCCCACCTTTCCCCTGTCCTGTTTCCAGTGCAACAGGTGATCGAGAACCACATCCTCAAACTCTTCCAGAGCAACCTGGTGCCCGCAGATCCTGAGTGAAGACTGCCTGCTGGGGACTCAGATACTCAGGGAACAAAACAGTTGACCTAGAACTAGCTTCAAAGGCAGCTCCTGGACAGACAGTGGGGGGGGATCCTTCCCAAGAGGAACCAATAAACCTTCTGTGTGCATAACTTGAAGGACTTCACTGTGCTTCCCCAAGGGTCTCCTGGAGGAGTCGGCTACCCAGTGGCCTCACACCCTCTCCCCCAGCACTCGCAGGTGGTAGATGACTACTCGGCCAAAAAAGTCAGTGGCGTCCTCAAGTGTCATCTTCAGCTGGTCCACCTCGGCAGCAGGCACAGGGAAGGTGTGAGCACAGGCAGTCAAGAGAAACAGGTAGCTCATCATTTCCCATCCGCCAGCCCCAGCTCAGACACCACCAGTATGCTGCATGACCCAGCACACTGTGAGCCCCTCTGAAGCTCTCACATAGAACAGGTTACCATCAGCGCATTTTACAGATGAAGCAACGGAGGCCCAGAGCCACTTGCTCAAGGTCACACACTAGGATCCACAGCCTTCAGAGGCATAGACCATCCCCTCACCCCTCCATCCCAGAGGCCCAGGCAGGATATCTGAAGGGAGTTGTTGTCCTCAGGGTAGAAGTCCACAATCTTGCAAAGAGCCTCACTCCCCTGGGAACCTGCAGCAGGAAAAGGGGCAGGCTGTGAGGCTGGGGTTCCCCTCCCAAACCCCCACCTTCCAGAGCCTTCCAGTACCTTCCAGGTGGCCCCGGCGACTGGAGAAGCCCCCCTGAAACTGGATCTGCAGCTGGGAGACACGGATGCGCTGAGGAAACTCTAGTATCACCCACTGGGAGGGGCCCTGGAAGCAGACAGGGAAACTGAGGCTCACGATCACTTGCTCAGAGCCCTGCTATACCGGTCTCATTCACACAGTCGATGGTGGTGGGAGAGGGGGCCGTTCGCACACATTCCTCCGTGGCCAACTTGACTCCCCAGCTGGAGTTCTCCTTAGCTCTCAAGGCACTCTGGACCCCTGAATCTGATTCACGGGAGCGGGTAGAGGATCCAGGGAGAGGTGCCTCACCTGGTCCGAGTTCCAGCATGTCTCCTCATTCTGGTCGAACAGATGCTTCTTTCCAAACTGCCGGGTGTTGCGATTCAGCACTGAACTCACCCTGGAGGCACCAGAATCCGGGAGAAAAGAGGGGCTGAACCAAGCGCCGAGTTCCCGCCCACCAGAGGGCCTGCCGCCCCCCTCGCCTCCAGCTTTCCCCGGTACCCCCAGCTCTGTCAACCCGGGGCTCAAGGGCCACGCCCGCCGCTGCCCGGCGGCCAGATTCTCACCTGCTCACTGTCTCTGGACAAACCAAAGAGTGAGTCATTTCGGCTCCACAAAGCCTCACACGGCTCAGAGCTGACTTCGGCCGGTGTTCGAATCCCGGCGCCAACGAAGCCGCAGCGGCGCGAACTCGACCACGCCTGAGTCTGCAAGGGTTTCAAAGAAACTGCCAGTGACCCGAGGCCAGACTTTAACAGCGGGTCCAAGGAAGGGAAACAGGTTTCCTGTGGGTTTGCTCAGGCTCCGAACCTCAGTCTCTCTACGAACAGCTCGGAGAACCGAGCGAGACCCGGATCCACGACGACACCGCGCAGGCGCAATGTCACTCAGACCCGCCCAGCCTGCGCTCTCGGGGCAGGATGTAATTTGAGCCCCGCCCTTCCGTGCCCGCCTCTTAAAGGGCCTTCATCCGGTGATTAAGTTTCCATTGGAGCTGGAGGTCGAAGGCAGGCACCGAAAACATCGTGTGCCGAGTGTGTGTGGGGCGCAGTCTCTGATGCCTGTGGGTATAGAGCACTGGTTTTGGAGTCTGAGAGATAATGATGTTTCCCTACCTGGGGAAGTCTGCCAAATCCATTCTGTAACTGCTAATGCTGCCTCGCACTTCACTGCCTCCCAGGGACCAAAGGAAGAGCCGAGGAAGAGGCCACGATAGTGCCTGTACAGCGAGTCTTCATCAACCTCCCGTGTCCCAGCTGGAACACAGGAGGCTTAGCCTCCAAATCTTTCTTCCTAGTAAACGCTGCCTGGGACAGGCTTCATGGATCAAGATCCTGCTGAGCCTGAAGATGTTTGAGAAAGGGCAGGACACCATCCCATCTGCATGAATGGAGGGTTCTGAAACTGATCAGCCACTGGCAGGAGGCTGCAGTTTCCTGGCTTTAGCTGAATGGTCTAGAATCCAGCCCCTTTCTTCAAGGGCTAGGGGAATGGTTCTCTTGGCATCCTACTAGTATCGTCCCAAGCCCACTCCAGGACGGTCGGGGCCGGTGGGGGGGCTGGCTGGGAAACTGGGACACTAGCGGAAGGGTCGCCCCATCAGCCCCTGCCTGCCAGGACTTCCTGCATTCAGTCATGGCCTGGTGCCATCTAGACCTGGCTCTGTTGGTCTCAGGGCTGGGGCCAGGACTGCGGGTGGCAGAAAAGACCTCTGTATTCCCAGAGGAAAGTGGGAAGAGCATGGACCCTGGAGGGCCCAGATTTGGTTCAAATCCTAGGTGGGTCACTCACTCACTGGCCTGTGATCTTGGACAAGCATGTTGACCTCTCTGAGCCTCAGTTTCCTCATCTGTGAAATGGAGGGAATTCTATTTATAGGACTGCTGGAGAACTCAGTGGACTCAATGGACTGACACATAACAACAGTGGCCAGCCTTTGTTAAGAGCCAGTCCTGTGTTTGACTTGAAGCCACATTCTGTCTCCATCCACTGGTTCATCAAACCTGCGGTACTGGTCCATGTCACCTCCATTTTACAGCTGAGGATAGAGCCAATGTCCCCCAGGGAAGAATCATGGCCCTAGGGCCCCCCTTGCCACTCTTGGTCTTGGCATGGAGCCACCTTGCCCACTGGGATGAGGCCAGCTCAGTACCCTCTTCCCGCCTCCTCACCCCACTGGCGCCTGGGCATGAAAGAACCTCCTGTTTCTCCAGGGAATTAGCAGCTCTAAGCTCCCAGCAGAGCAGCCAAAAGTGGTCCATTCATTTGCCTGAGTGAGGAGAGACTAGGCACTCCCTCCCTCCTCACCCAGGCGATGGGGCAGAGGAAGCTCTGGAAGAGCCAGGAGCTGCCACTCCAGTTCACTGAGGGAAACTGAGGCACAGAAAAGCAAAGTCATTTTGCTAAGGTTATCCAGGGGCGACCAGGATTCAAACCTGTCTGGCTCTGGAGGTCTCTCCACTGAGCTGAGTTTTGCATTTGTCAAAAGAAGAACAGAGGCTCAGAGAGAGTCAGGTATTTGCTGAAGTCACACAGCAAGTATGGGTCAGCAAAGTGTCTCTCTGGGGTTGCAGCCCCACCCATGGCAAAAAAACAGGTCCAACTTCCCATGTGTTTGTCATGGCAGAGCAGGGTAGGGAAAGGCCTTCAGAAAGCTTCAAGCCTTGATTTCCGCCTGGGGGATAAGTGTAGTGATTGCTTCAGCCTGGAGAGTACGTAGGGGTGGATGTGATGGTTCCCAGGCCAGCAGCCCCCAGCGGGGCAGGTCCAGGTGTGATTCATCTGCCAGGGTCTGCCTGGGTCCAACAGGGCCTGCCTCAGAATACACAGATGCACGCTAGCTTCCAGCTGGACTTGTCCGTCCTGGCAGGGTGCGAGCCTGGGAGCCTGGGAGCCTGGGGAAGTGGGGGTGACAGTAGGAGTGGAAGGGAGTGGCCCTGCGTGAAGGGACTGGAGTGAGCTCACCGGGGAACCCCCGGGAGCCACAGCTGGGTGTGTTGAATGGTAAGCACAAGTAGCAGGGCTCTGAGATGGATCTCGGGAGGACTATACATCTCCATGTAGGTGCTGATTTTAGTTGGGTGCTGGCTGTCTGGAGGTGCACCCATGCCTATAAACAGGGTTGGAGGTGAACAACGTGGGGCAGATGTACCTGTTGGTGGCTGCCGAGACAGCTAAGGTGCAGTGCGTGCATTTGAGTGTGAAGGGACTAGAGGTGGGGCTGAGTTTGGTTGTGCAACCAGCATGGCTTGGGTGTGACCAAATGAGGTTGTATGTGGTCTGTGTGACGTATATGTGGCCTTGCCTCATGTGGTTGTATATAAGCCACCTGGGATGTGATGTGGGTTAGGGGTCCGTTGGTGACATTGTGCGACATGTGTGAATGTGGCTGCTTGTGTCATGTCCATGTGTCACCTTGGGCATGTTAAGAGGCACTTTGGAGGGCTACTGTCCACCTCTGAGACCCAGCTCTCCTGGAAGGTCCAACTTCCCTGCTCCTGTTCTGGTCCACCAGCCTCCTCCCCTGCTTCCTCCCCCAACTCGCTCCAGCCCCTGGCCTGGGCCCCAGTGTGGGGGGTACAGAGAAGGCACTCAGGGCTGGCAGGGGTGGCTCACCCAATCCCAGTGCAGGCCTATAAATAGCTCTTTGAGCCCAGCAGATTCCCAGGCAAGGTTGCCTCATTCAAGCCCCCAGCAACAGCCGCCCCCCCACCTCCCCTGGGCCCCAGGCCAGCCCCTCTAAGCTCAGTCCTGGCACTGGCCAGGGGGACCTGGGGGTGGAGAGGAAGGCGTGTAGAGAGGTGGGGGCAGTCAAGGGTGAGGGTCAGCTTGGCTCTGAGGCCATGAACCTAGGCTCCCACTTGGTCCATACCCATACTGTACAACCTCAGGCAGGTGGTCCCATGCCTCTGAGCCTCAGTTTCTCTCAGCTGGAAAGTGGGCAAAACATAAGAGCAGCCCCCATCTTATGTGTTTACTTCCCATTTCATTCTCTCAGCAACCCTGTAAGACAGGGACTCTTAATTATCCTCCTTTTAGATAGGGTAACCAAGGCACAGAAAGACAAAATGGCTGGCCCAGAGTCACTCTATTAGGAGTGGAAAAGAGGGGTTTTGAACCCTGAACTTGTGGAGGCAAAGCTGCTTGGATCCCTCGCATGTCACACAATCACACCCAGACCCCCGACCCCCCCACCCCAATGCTGCCATAATCACCCCTCACACCAACCTGTCAACTACAGACACTCATATCAATGTGACCCCTGACCTCCATCTCTCCTCTGTGATGAGGACTGAACAGTAAGCATAGCTCCCCAGTGTGTCACTTTGGCCCCTGCGGCCATCACTCGCCCACACCTGGACCAGCCGACTGGGTCCACATGCATGAG